CTGAAAGATGTAAATTCAAATGTCAGATCCATCATTTTTTAGACATGGTGTGATATGAAGCAAGACAAAAATAAAAGAATGTCTTTTTCCAAGATAAATGATAAATGGTTTCTTCACTTGAGTTTTTATAGAGGATTTACTCTAAGTACAGATATGATCATAGAAGTATGGAAACAAAAGCAAAGAAAACATATTTTGAGAGGCATCTAATAAGCAGCTTTCTTTGTTTCACGCTGACATGCTTTGTGGTTACGATGCAGGCATCCAATGTTCACCAGATCAGAATTAAAATTCTAGGCAGGCATTCAACTTTTACTATTGTGTCCATTCTTCGCTGAGCATGGGAAACGAACACTTTAGAAGTTATTTACTAAAGATATTCCCATGGTACTTATACAAAGTTCACTTCCAAAAGAGGCCCTATTCCTTCAATGTACTTAAGCAGGAGCTCCACCAGGTTTCTTGCATTGTACTTAAAAAATTACAGCAGGGTAATAAACTCATGTTTTCAACAGAGGCTTTTCTAAGGGTAAGCCATAGCAATTTTGCAAAGGTGCACGATAAACTATAGGAAAAGGACCAAACAAATTTAAAAACCAAAGAATAGAATCCAAAATGATTTATGACATTTTGAATAAAGTTAAATATAGAATAATTAGCAGAAAGCATTTAATTCAATTTAGTTTTCCTATTATGAATGTAAAGTTGGCATAAATACAGTAAGCCTAATCAAAATCAGGTAACAGTTACCTCTGTGGCCTTGCTTGATGGTTCCAGTCCAGTCATATTTGCTACTATTAACTGATGTAAGAGTTGAACTTGAGCCACACTTAGGAAGAAGTCCAAGTTTGTGGTTATATTCACTTCCAAGGAATGGCCACACACTAAAATCTCCTGAAGGGAAAAAAAGTTGAATACAGATAAAGAAACATGATAGCCATTAGATGATAATTTATCATTCTTACTTATTTGACCTTTACTATGTTGATGAATTCTCCTGGGACTCAAGTTCATTTGTTAATGAGAATAGCAGAAATGGTGAGCACAGCCATTTGACACGGTATAATGAATTTAATAAATATTTATGAGGGCCTGCTATGTGCCAGGCTGTATAGTTACAGGGCAACAAACTAACAATAAGAATTTTTCACTATTTCATATATATTTGGCTTTTTCACATATCAAACTACTATCATTATTTCAATATATAATCTATGATGTAATTATTTAGCATAGTCTTGTTCATTTATTCAAACCATCAAATATTTACTGAGCATCTCCTAATTACTATGCACTATCCTAGCGTGCTAGGAATACCACGAAGAATAAGGTTGGCCTTGAAGGGCAACCTGCTCTTGGGGAGGTTACAATCTGGTTGGGTAGACAGATGTAAACAGGCAATTGTAGGCAGGCAATTACAATCTCAAGTGGTATAGTCTGAGTATTCTCCAAAGGAAACACTCCAAATGATTTATAATAAAATAGAGTGCTGAAGCCAAAAATAGCTAGACTAATTAGTTTAACTTCTTCAAACTGCTAAAATCTTGGCAGCATTAGGTATATGTCCACTACTTAACTGGTGCTGTTCTGCATAACTGAGTCACTTGAACATTCATCACTGGAAAAGCAGTCAGAGAAGGAAAACAGAAATGAAAAACAATCCAGAAGCCTCACTTAATAGGCAGAAGTCCTGCCTCTTGTCATGAATTGCATGTGGACAATGTTCAAATGCTTGGAAATGTCCAAGAAACCTTCTCTTTATTAGTGTCATACAAGGGAATGGATTTAAGGAGGCTTATGACTGGTCCAAATACAAACTAGACAGTTTAGAGCAGGTTTTACCAAAGCCATAAAGAACAACATCATGTCGGAAATAATTATCCTTTTTTCGGTTAATCTTTTCCCCCAAAGTTCCCTATGTTTACTCAATACAGTTAGAATTCTTATTTTACTCCTCAAGTAATGATGAAAAGGAATACATTCATGTATTTTAAACCAATCATGTTACTAAGTAACTGTAAGATATTAGTAGACTTAATTTTTTATATACCCTTTGTGAATATATGATACCATGCCTAACCTAACTTTCCTATAGGGCTATTATAAATATCAAATAAGATAAAATATAAAAAAATATTTATTGCTTTTTAAAAATTTAGAGACGGAAACTAAAATTTCATCAGCTTGGATTACTGTATTTAATTTGTACCTAATTTTCCTGAACTTTTCATAACAACTGCCTATAACTGGGAATGATCAAAAACTTTATATAAGTTTTTTATATAATAAAGTTCTATGAAACATTTTTTGAAGTTATAATGAATCATATTATTATCACATTTCTACTCTTGGCATGGAGGCACTGAAACCATAGTGATGAGACTTGAAACCTGGATCTACCAGGAATTGGCTAATAATATGGGTCAAGTTACTTAATCTCTTTTGATCTTAGTTTCCTCATCTATAAAATATGGATACTAATAATACCTATCTTGTAAGAGTGTTGTGGAGACTAAATAAAGTGAGCCACGTGTAACTCATATAAGGTAATCCATGTGAGAACTCTAATTTATTTGTCAGTATTATTGTTTCTTTCATTAGAAAGAGGTTGTAGAGGCTGCTTTCATCGAAAGAGAAACCCAGATCAGATGGGTTCATATTGTATTCGGCTACTTACTACTTGTAAAAATGTGGACAAGTTATTTGGGTTAGCCTTTCTATGTATCAGTTTCCTCATCTATAAAGTGAGGATAGTGGAAGAAGCTAACAGGATTATTATGAGGATTAAATGAATTATTACATAAAAAACAATAACTAAACCGTACAAGAAAGTGCTTAATAATTATGAGTTGCAACAGTAACTTATTAACAATAAGCTAATTTGATAGTCTGTGCACTGAAACTGAAAACTCATGACATACAAAGAGGAGCTGCTCCACTATTTAGACTAAAATGAAACCTAAATCAAATTCTAACCTCAGTATGCATATTTTCTGGAGAAATTATTTTGGTGAAAATGATGGCAGGTGCACCAGTTATTCGGACAGAAAAATCTGTTAAAATGGGAGTCAAAATTGCTCTTCTTTCTTGATGCCGCCGTATGCTAAAAAAATAAAGTACAAAATTATTAGCCATTTCATTTTTTTAAGGATAATTTTCATTAAATTTGTATAAGCCTTTGTACTATAAACATGTATGACAAAATCACATTATTTTGAGAGTACTATTTGTATATTTTATAGTCAGAGTTCTGTAATTTCAGTGCTTCGGGTTTACAAAAGATAGCAAAAAAAATCTTTGAGAAATTCAGATATAATTAATCAATTTCATGTAAGTTATAGCCTATCCTAGCACCTTTCAAATTATTGTTTTTAATTCCTTCTGTTCTAGCAAATAGCTTAGTAGTTTTTGTTACCAACAATAATCTCACTATTTTGTGATAATTTTTTAAATTTCCTATTTTTAATATTGCTGACATCCTAGTTTACAATTGCTATCTTTCCAATCTCATTAGATTGACAAGCATATCTTACTAACCCTTGACTTTTTTTTTAAGCTCTAAGCACCATCTGATTTCACAGATTATTACCCCCTTAACGGATTGTGCAATTGTTTTTGTGGGTTTAATACTGAATGCTTGTTCACAACAACCCTGTATGTTAAGTAAAGATGATTACTAGACCTAAATTACTAATAAGGAAAGGAGTTTTAGGGACTAGGCTAAGGCCATCCAGTGAGAACAAAGATTCCACAATTGGGCCCGGAGGACAAGTTGATACCATAGCAGTATTTGACCTCTACTTTAATTCTCCTTTTACATTTTCACTTTTGATCAGTTATTTAGCATGATATTTCTACTCTACACTCAAAATTGCTAATAATTTCAAAGGCAGTGTTGCATACATGGTAGAAGATGAAACTGGAAAATATTGAGAAACCAAAGCTTGTGCTATAGAGATCTAAGGTCGACTATTCATGTTCTTAGTTTCCATTTTATGAAATGCTACTATTTTATGTTTTACTAACAAGCTGTTCCTCAAAATTTCCTTGGAGTTTTTATTAAATTAATATTTAATATTAATAATATTCCTCATAAATATGTCCTATTATTCCTTTATAATATAAAATGATCAAGTTGAAATCAGAGACTGGCCTAACTTATCTCATGAGAAAGCTCAGATAAAGCACAAGTCTTTCTACATGCTTTTCCAGCAAAGTTGTTTAGAGAGTACTAGCATCTTCTGTTGAACTTTGCAATGGGCAGAGCTTTATATGATGTCTGCCAAAAAAGTAAACTGGATCATTTGGTTCTGTGACACATAAGTTTTAGATTTCAAAAAAGTCAATTTTAAAGAATTAGGAGTCTGGTAAATAGAGAGTAACAGAAAGAAGTATTAAAATCTGTGACTAAAGAGAAAGCACTGAAATCCTGAGAGACACTATAATTATTGCCTAATAGCTCAAATTCCATAAAATGACCAATGTGAGAAACATGTTAACATGTGATGTGCTCTCATAGGGGTGTGCAAAAATACACCTTTTATTAAAAATACCTTAAAATAGGAAATATGGCAGGGAACCAAATAAGAGCAAACATTAACTAAAGCAGTGATAAAAAAAAATACTTATCCATATTTTAACTTTTTTTCCCATTACATGATGAATTAAATCACTTATATAACATATGAAAGACCTATGACCTTAGAAGTAAAGAGAAAAATTTAAAAAGTCAACAGTCCTATAAAACTATAACTTTTCTGGTATACGGTGCTAACTTTTCTTTTGCATTTTTCTTTGGTATTTGAGGTAATGATATACATTTTAAAGATCATTATTTTTTTTAGATTCAAATATTTTCAAAGATGAATTCTAAAGAAAAAAGTAACAATGAAAAGATAACTACAACAAGAATTAAATTCTGCCCACATTTTACTAGATACTAGTAGGGTTTAAAATAACAAAAGTGAGAAGCAAAACTCAAAGTATTAACTGACATTGTTAAGGACTTCAGGGTCTTAGCCACTCTCTATAAACCAAGGGAATAGATTTTCAATAGCCATATTGAGACCACTGGCTAATTCTTACATCCCTGATAGGTAAGGATTTTAAAATTAGCTACCTATCTGTTTCTGGGGCCCTTAAGGGGCCAGAAAAATATGTGCCCATTAGAAACAGAGAAGAACGAGGAAGTTTGCCTCTTTTGGCAAGAGAATCTGTGGAAAAAAACAGAGATCTCCCTGGAAAATAAAAAATAATGGGAAATCCTTCATGTATGTTTTGTAGGTATTTTATATTACCTGTGTTGGTCCAAAAATACCTGTTCTGAGTTATTTATATAAATGTGGCATCAGACCTTTGATAACCCTGGGGCATCTGTCAGAAAGAGATGCAAAACCTCTCTAAAAAACATTCCCTCAAACTGACAAAAGAGATTCTCAGGGACAAAGACCACCAAAGATAAGCTCCTAATCACAGAGTATTTTGTATACCCCACAAACACTGTCCTTTACCAGCAAGAGGAGAATTCAACCCCATTATCAAATTCATTACTGAGAATTTTTAATAATGAAATTACCACAAATAGACAATAAAATAAATTTGTTTAAAACTATTAAATACATATGAGATGGAATAAAAATATGAAGAAAACAACAAAGTACTATCAAAAAGGCAAACAGAAAAATAACTAAATAGAACTTTTGGAAATGAAAAATAGGTACTAAAATTAAATATATAATTGATGGATACATAGCACTTTTAATTTGCTTAAGAAAAATGAGTAAACTAGAATTTAGATTTGAGAAAATTCTAGGAATGTATTAAAGTAAATTTTAAATGGAAAGTTTAAAATAAAAGTTAAGAGACATGGAAGGCAAGTCTGACACATTTAGTTGGCATTCCAAAATGAGAACATAGAAAGAAAGGAAAAGGGTGAATATTAAAGAATAACGGCTGAGAATTCTCCAAAACGAATGAAATATAGGAATACACAGATTCAGGAAGCACAGAGAGTCCTGGTTCAGATAAATACAATAAAACCTAAAATTAGACACATCTTGCTGAAATAGCTAATCACCTATGATAAATAAAATATATTAAAATCACCTAGAGAAAACAGATTATCTATAGCATGCTAAGGCATATGGAGTTAGAAGAGCTGTAGAAGAAATATTTCTCTGATATACTCTAATTTAACGATGATTTAATATACCTCTACATTTAATATGTTTCCACAGAAACAAAGAAATGGTATAGTAATTTGCACCTATCATCTTATAAGCCCATGGAAACTTATAAAACCCTCTTAGAAGATAAAAAAAATATTGACAATCAAAAGGTGCTAATCAAATAGCCGGGAAGTAAGCATATGTGTTAACAAAAGCTATCCTGTTAAGCTCTGGGAAGAGTAGATTGTAAGTAAGGAAAAACATAGTTCTCTGAAATTGTTACTAAGCCAGAAGGCATAATTACGTGCCACACACATTCATGAAAATACACGTTTAGAAAGGCTGTGCTCATTTTTCTTGGGCTCAGCATGTTTATACTAAGGTTCTCCTGCTACCTGCCATACATTTGGGTGTGACTTTGTGGGAAGCAGTAAAGCGGTTTAAGAACCATACTTCAAAAGTTACATAATATAAAAGACTAGGGAAAATGGTACCAAGGTTTCTAAAATATTTCCCCCAAAAGACAGAATAAAAAAATGCTAGATGGTGTGTGTGCACACAGAACTTATGCAAAACAAAGACTTTCTTGGTAGGGTATTACAGGTGAACTTCAGAAAGAAGATACTTGAGAAAAACTTGAGACTTTTTGAGGAAGTCAACTGCTATACTGAATATTCCCAAATATGAAAAATAGTAATATGCACAAAATTTATTATAAAAAATGTTATGTGGAAAACTGTTGTAATTTGCTATTTGTAGAGATTCTTATTTTGTCATTAAGATAAATAATTTGTATTCTATAGTAACTTTAAAAACCAAATATTTAGAGTTTATACCCATTTTGTTTTTCCCCCCAAGAAGAACCCTATTCAGTGACTTTCTACTGCAATTAAAATAAAATCCAAATTCCTTCTGGCCTACAAGACTATTCATAATTTAGTCCTTCTATACCTAAAACTACATCTATTATTTCTCTCCTCCTAGCCAGGCATGATCCTTAAACATCCTAAACTTATTCCTACTCAAGGATCTTTGTTCTGCTCCAGATTCTCTAGGCAGAAACATTCCAAGGGTATTTACATGGATAGCTCATTATTGTCACTCAGGTATTATAAGAGGGCTTCTTTGAGCCCTAATCTAAGGAAATCTCCCAGTTACCCTTAAAACATCATACTGTCATTATTTTCATAGCATTTCTCACTCTCTGAAAGTTTGAGAACATGAACTGAAAGTCCATTATTATGCCAGGCCCTCTGGTGGGTGCTAGGAATAGTGACAAAGATGGAGCCAGGGAGCTTAGTTTAGCAGAAAAAACAAACAACATAATCGTAAGGGAGGACAAGTATAACGATAAGAAAAGTACAGAGGGGTGTGAGAACATTCAGTAGAGGACCTCATCTTTTATCTCAAGGTTCTAAAACTTATTCAAGCAATTAATTTGTAAAGACATATAAAGCATCTGTAAACAACGCTACAGAAACTATATCCTGAAATGAGGATGCTTTTTAAGGTACATTTAAACAAAATGCTAGCACAAATTTAGTTTGGCAAAATTAAATAATGTTAAAATAATCTCGTTCTTGAAAAAAAAAAAATTCTCCTCCCCCAAACAAAATAACAGAGCAAAACTATGATTAAAATATATTTGTTATGGAGATCACAAGTGCTACATTTATTACAGCCTCTAAAGAAAGTCTTTTGAGCATGTCTATATTGAAATATCCACTTAATTCAGTTTTGCTGAGATGTTCAAATAATAGCTCTGGTTATAGTTTGCAGTTATTTAGATCTACGGTCTGGGCTGCTGCATCTAATTCTACTTGATAGCTCTTTTTCCAAGGAAAAACTTCAAAATAAACTTAATGGAGGAGGGAGAAAACAAGGAATTGCTAAAAGTTTCTCAGAAAAAAAAAAAGACATTAGAAATTGTGTGTTG